AACTCAATCGGACCAGAGGGGAGGGCAACCTCCAGCCTACATGCCTAACCAGGTGCTCTAGTACAGCCTTTCTCAACCTGTGGGTCCCCAGATGTTGTTGAACTACAACTCCCATCACCCCTAGAAGCAAGGCCAGAGCTCAGGGATGATGGGAGTTGTAGTCCAACAACACCTGGGGACCCACAGGTTGAGAACCGCTGCCCTAGGGCTCCCCATCCCAGTCAAGCCATGACTCCCTGTTCTACACCTGATGCCCTATATGACATCAGGTGAGGGGCCTTCAATGTTAAACCTCAGAGTCAAGAGGCATTGAAGGCACTGCTTCTCCAACACCAACTACCAGCCAGTTGTTGTGGCTTGGGAAGTGTCACAGGCCTGACATCATTTCCATGTCATTGTGATCATCATGATGTCAGATGATTGGCAGGTGGGCAGCCCATCACACCTATCAAAGTTGGCCTGTGTGGAGATAGGGATCTTGGGCTTGAGGTATAGGATTGCACTGTCCAACCGACAAAACCCAGGAGAAATTTGAATGGGGAAGATTTGGCAAGCGCCCCAAATTAAGCAATCAAATGATAATCTTCATCTCGTGGCGTGCTGATCTGGCCAAGAGCCATTTGTCTCAAGTGGCTTCCATCTCTTCTAAAGTGTCCAGTCCATGTCCTTCTAATTAGGGTTTGCCATATTTTGAAGAGCAAAAAAGAGGACGCATTTGCCGACTTCCGCTTTCAACTATGGATCGCGATGGTGACACTCATTTTACACAGCCATGAAAAAGAGGACGTGTCCTGGAAAAAGATGACGTATGGCAACCCTACACACCTTTTAAAACAGCAATGGGTGTGTTCAGAATTATTCCGGATTGAGGGTGGGTGAATTTGTGGTGGGGTAGAGGCCAAGTTTCAGCAGATTCTTTCAGCTCAGGTCTTCTTGCAAAACTATGGATTCATAAGGTTCTTTCCAGCTAAGTCCTACTCAGAGTAAGCCCATTGAATTAACTGGGTGTGGTCAAGTTATACCCACTGATTTCAATGGGTCTATTATGAGTAGGATTTAGCTGGGTGCAACCCAAATTCTAATATGTTTATTTTGCCACTTTCTCTGCTATAAAGTCTGTGGGTGAGCAGTGAATAAGGATACGCCCAATATCATCTCTGCTACCAACACCTCCTCCCCACAGAAAGATCAGTGTACAGCTATTTTATCCCATAACTGCTGTCATACTAGAAACCAGTGTGGTGAACTGACCTCAGGGTGATTTCTTTGATATTCTGTGCTGGTGATGGGTTCAATATTTCAACTGTTCAATGTCTGGTTTCATGATCTTGTTGACTACTGTCTACTCTGAAAGGGCCTGATCCCTTACGGCAGTGCTTCTCAAACGGTGGCCCAGGAACCATCAGTGGCATCAGACCACTTTCAGGTAGGGCTTGGGGTCACAACTCATTCTCCCAGCTTAGTGGTGCTATAGACCTTTCATTTAACCAATGGCGGTACCAGAAACTTCTCCACGTGGCATGGAATGGAGGTCAGAAGACCGAGAAGCCCAGGGAAAGGGAGGCAAAAATGCAACAGGGGCTTTTGAAAGAAATTAGGCAGGTTAAAGGTTAATGTTTTTAAAATGATGGTGAAGGTGATGGTGATAAACTGGGAACATAAAAGAAGGAACTAAGAGAGGGAAACTGTTATAGGCAGAAGAACTGAATGTAAAAGGAAGAGGGATGAATTAAACTGGCAATTTGGTGGGGTATAATTTAAGGGTGAAAGAAGAGGAGGAGACATGATAGGAGATGAGTACAAAATACTTGGGGTGGGTGGGAACTGAAAATATAAAATAAAAGCCTTCTGCACTCAAAGCAGGGGTAGCCAATGGTGTTATGAACTACATCTCCCACCATCCCTGACCATCCCAGATGCTGGCTGGGGTCGATGGGAGTTGGAGTCCACAATATTTAGAAGGAACCCAATTGACTGCCTCTTCCTTGGCGCTTTTGCATCAGCCAGTGATGTCTTATATGTGAAGGCTGAGTCCCAGTAGACCTTCTGAGCCAATATTTGTTGGAGGAAAGCATAGTATCCTGGACACAAGGCAATCCTTGTGGCAAATCAACTAGCCAAGAGTGATTAGATGTCCATCCAGTGTCATGTTTTGAACTGCCAGCTGGTCATGCCAAACTCCACTTCCATCTGCCACCATTTGGTGACCAGCTCCACCCCTGCGCTGCCATTTTGTGACTGGTGGGTCTCATTTTCAACCCTCTGAAGTGGGCCCCAGGGCGAAAAAGTTTGAGAAGCCCTGCCTGATGGGTGTCGGACTTGACATAATGATTTTGCTGCTGGTAGATCTCTTGTTCTGTTCAAGAAAAAGACCAACCGTTCCTTGCCTCTTCTGAATGTTTGGATAGGGTTTGACTGACGATTTGCTGGTGATGGGTCGCTTCTGTTACAAATCTGTGTGCATCAATAAAACCTGTTTCTTCGCATGTCCCGTCTCAAGCAAATTATTTATTTTAAAGTGGAGGAAAGGGCAGCTTACAATGTGTAGCTGCAAAGGAAGCCCCTTTATACCGAATCAGACCCATGGCCCATCTACTTCAGTATTGTCTACACTGGCTGGCAACAGCCCTCTAGGCATTCAACCCTACCTGAGATTGGAACTGGGACAATCTGTATGTTAAGCAGATGTTTCACCACTCATCTATGAACCTTCCTTGTAGTATAGGATCATAGGACATCGCCTTATATTAAGTCAGGCCATTGGTCCATTTGGATTAATATTGCCTACACTAACTGGTAGTAGCTCTCCAAGGTTTCAGGTTTGGCTGCCCTTGATCTGAGCGTTCTAAGGAGATTCCTGTTGCCCTCGCAGAGCTATAATTCCCAGAGTCCCCCGGGATCGATTGCTAAACCAGCCTGGGAACCGTAGCTCTGGGAATGATTCATACTACCCTCCAAAAGTGAGGTAGAACATAGTCATCATGCTTATGGTCACCACTGAATGGCACCATCCATGAGGCATATGAAGTTCCACATGTTCTGCAGAAGTGTATAAAAAAGGTGGGAATTCTTGGGGAGGGTGGACCCCCCAAACAGCCCACTAAGGATGGAAAACTATAAATAGATCTTTTCATCCTTCAACAAAACTGCCATAAACATATGTTTCCCCCCATGTGCCCATCAGGTCCTTATGAGAAAACCACTCCAACCATGTAACCCAAGCAGGCCAGTCTATGACAGTGAGGCAGAACCTGGAGGCCACATTTCTTTCTGGCCAACCTTCTGAAGGCCACATCCCAGTAGTCATGAGGACCTGTGGCAAATGTGGGCAGAGCAACAACTCTCATGTTTTCCCTTGGTACCATGGGGTAGCTTCATATATCCCAGTCTCTGTCCTCCAAGCCATCAAGAGGCATGATTCATCTCCAGGGGCACACCCCAGCCAGGCAGAAATACTCAAGGAGTTGGTGCACAGCAAGGCCAAGGGGCGTGTCTGAAAAATGGGTTTATTGGGGACCATTCCAAGGACCAGGCACAGAGAACTGGAGGGTCTCATTCCCCACCACACACCTGGGGCCGTTGTCCCCCACATCTCTTCTACTTCTTCACCAAAACACCCCTGACCATCTCTTAACATACTCGAGGAAAAACCAACGATCACAACATCTGAATGAATTGCAAATGTTTTATTTCAGCCAAAGCGGGAGGCGTGGTTGGGGGGGCAAATAAATAAAATGGCCCATCAGGCAGATGTCATACAAAAGGAATCGCTTACAAGGTGGAGCACAGAATGCCTTGCAGGTGGGACTAAGATTACTGGATCCCGGAGATATCATCAGAGAAGTGAGCTGCGTGGCAAGGTCTGAAGGGGTCTTATCAGGGTGAGCTTCTTCAATCACAAAGGCTTCCTAGCTACTGTTGGAGAACAGGACGGTCTTGAGCATGACTACTCAAGAGTCAGTCCCACTGTGCTAACTTTCCAAAGTAAGTGGGTCTGGGACAAGGACAGACCAGTCTCTCAGTCTCTCCACTTCCTGTTGCTACAGCAACTAGGGATGCACAATGAGTATGTCATTTTTCCATGCATCTTCTTAAAGGTAAAGGTAAAGGGACCCCTGACCATTAGGTCCAGTCGTGGCCGACTCTGGGGTTGCGGCGCTCATCTCGCTTTATTGGCCGAGAGATCCGGTGTACAGCTTCCGGGTCATGTGGCCAGCACTGCTAAGCTGCTTCTGGCGAACCAGAGCAGCGCACGGAAACGCCGTTTACCTTCCCGCCAGAGTGGTACCTATTTATCTGCTTGCACTCGGACATGCTTTCGAACTGCTAGGTTGGCAGGAGCAGGGACCGAGCGACGGGAGCTCACCCCGTTGCGGGGATTCAAACCACTGACCTTCTGATCGGCAAGTCCTAGGCTCTGTGGTTTAACTCACAGCGCCACCCATGCATCTTCTTACCCAGTATAAATATTTTTCACAATTTCCCCTAATGCCACACATATTTATATGCTATTTTCACATGTTAGGCGCAGTTTTCCTCCAATGTACACATGGCAAAATACAGAGCAGCGCAGATTTTGCGGGAGAATCGTGTTTCAGTAAGGAAGCGATGGCTTTAAAATCCAAACCAAGCTGGAATTGCAACCTGAGGCTGCTCGCATCTTATACAGAGATGGGGAATAAGAATGTAAGCATGGCCCCTGCCGGGTATAGTAATTTTGTCCAGCGTCGTGTTGACCGGCAAGGCTTGAGCGCAATGGCAACTCTCCCTGCTTGCAATTCCCAGCAGCTGGTTATTATTCAGAGACAAACTGCTTCTGGCGGTGGAGGCAGAGCCTAGCTATTGCGGCCAGCAGTGAGGCCAGGGAGAGGGAGAGCAAAAGAAGCAAGGAGCTTAGGAAGCAGGTGCCAGGATTCCTGATAGGTAAGCAGGTGGCTGATGTTGCAAGCAAGCAAGGAATGACTGGATCTTTGGTCCTGCAGCCCCTGAGGAGGTCTCCATTAGTGGCAGCTCTTGTGCTTGGGCTTCTGTTCCTCCTGCTGCTGGTGGTGCTGGTCCGGCTTGGGCTTTCCGCAACTGGGGGGCTTGGCAACGTGATGGGTCTCCGTGCCACAGCATGGCGGCTTCTGCTGGGGTGGTGGGTGGTGGACCACAGGGGGCACACTGGAGTGCTTCTTCTGTTGCTGTTCCTGGCCGGACATCCTGGAAGGGCTTAGGCAACGCTTTGAAAGAGAGAAGGAGGAAATCTGAATTTTGTTAAGAACGTAGGGAGATCCCTACCAGATCAGGTTGAAGGGGGTCCATCTAGTCCTACAGCCTGTTCTTCTCATAGTGGCCAATTAGATGACCCACTGGGAAGCTCGCATAGCCCAATGTAAGCCCAACAGCAACTCCTCCTGTGGTTGCAAGCAAGAGGTATTCAGGAGCTTACTGCCTCTGACGGTGGATGTAGGGGTCAGTCACGGATGCCCTGACCCTCCATGAATTGCTCTAATCCTCTTTTAAAGCCACCCAATTTGGTGGCCATCGCTAAATCTTGTGGGATTTTTATTATGTCTCATCAGGGCCTTCTCAGTGATGGTTCCAACCTGGTGGAATGCTCTGTCCCATGAGACTAGGGCCCTTCAGGATTTAACCTCCTTCCGTCGGGCCTGTAAGACAGAGCTATTCCACCTTGCCTTTAATTTGAATTCAGCCTGATCTTTTATTTCCCTTCTCTTCCCTCCCCTTTTATGAAGACCACCCGCTCTGAGACCCCACAGCTAATTCTCCCCTGGCCGCCTCACTGGCTCAGGTAGGATCAGTTCTGCCTGATAGCCCTGGGGATTATCTAATTGATTTTTGAATTTTATTGTTATTCATGTTTTTATACTGTATTTTATGCTGCTTTTATAATTGTTTTAAAGTGTTTTGAATTTGTTGTTAGCCGCCCTGAGCCCAATTTTTGAACCAGAAAGGGCAGGGTATAAATAAAAATTTATTATTATTATTATTATTATTATTATTATTATTATTATTATTATCAATGAACCCCTTTGTAGACCCCCCCTTTGGAGGTTTTATTTACAATTCAGTGGTATTCAACTCTTGTGAAATAAAAAATAAAGGAGCCCTCAGAAGCTGTCTTATACGAGTCAGAGCCTTGGTCTGTCTTGCTCTATACTGTCTATGAAGATTGGCAGAAGCTCACTGGAATTTCAAACCAATAGTCTTTCCCAGTTCAAGCCGGGACTTGAACCCAAGACCCTCTGCATACAAAGCAGATGCTCTCTAGCGCTCCAAAGTTGCAAAGCTTCACAAGCTTTGAGGAAAAGAATTGCAAAGCCGTAACAGTACACAATTTCAAATGCCAGTCAATTTATACCATGCCTTCCAACTCCTCTCTAGTCGTTTCTTTTGGAAAGATCAATGGAAGATTCTTCCGCAACTTTCCACCAGCATGGATTATTCTTCTCATTATCTGGGGTGAGAAGGGCTATAAGGCTAAAGTGCCCGTTCTCAATAAGAGGTTTTCAGAACCACCCTGAACTTCACCTCCTACTCTGGTCTTCCACTAGTCTCCTTGGCCCATCCTCATGTCCTCCTAAATCAGCCTTTCTCAACCGGTGGGTCCCCAGATGTTGTTGGACTACAACTCCCATCATCCCTGAGCTCTGGCCTTGCTAGCTAAGGGGTGATGGGGAGAAAGGCTGTCCTAAATGAACTACTTCATTGTTGTCCATGGTGGGATAAAGATTGCGACTGACTGCACCTGTGAAGTTGAAGGTTGGGAGTTGCTGTGGACGCATCTCCAGCAGAGATCTGGCAAATCAAATTTGCCAAACAGTCATGTAGTTCTATAGTAGAGACACAGAACCTGCAGGTCTCCAAAAGTTGCTGAAATCCAACTCCTGACACCACTGACTGTTGGACATGTTGGTTAGGGCTGATGGGATTTGGAGGCCAGCAACATTTGCAAGTCCTGGCTTCTATGCTCCCTGCTTGTAGAACAGCATAGGGAATGCCTTGCTTGGCCCTGAATGAGCTGGTGGCTTCCAACGGTTGTCAGACTCCAGCTGTTCCTAGACTCCAATTCCCATCATCCCTTGTTGGCCAGGGCTGATGGGAGTTGGTGTTTAGCAGCATCTGAAGGTCCACAGATTCCACACACACACCCCTTGTTGTTAAATAACACAAGGAATTTAAGGACATTAGGATAGCTTTGCTTGGTCAATGGCCCATCTAGTCCAGCATCCACACAGTGACCAACTGCTCCCCAAAACCTAGGAATCTAGATAGACTGCCAATGGCCTGGAGGTTCCAGAAGAACTTCAAAAGAGCCCTGAAGCATTGGACCAATGGGCCATCTATTCCAGCATAGGCTACCCAGATGCCTGTCAGAATCCCACAAGCAGCACCTAGGTACCAGAGCCCTCTTTCCCCCTGCAGTTTCCAGCAACTGGTATTCAGAAGCAGAACCAAATTCTGGATTGGCCCCCACGTAACCTGATGACCTCCAGATGTTGCTGGACTCCAACTCCCACCACCCCTGACCATTGGCAGTGGCTCATGGGAGCTGAAGTCCAGCAACATCCGAAAGGCACCAGATCCTTCCCTTCCCCCACCCTTGTTCTATGGCAGTGGTTCTCAACCTGTGGGTCCCCAGATGCAGTTGGACTACAACTCCCATCATCTCTGAGCTCTGGCCTTGCTAGCTAGGGGTGATGGGAGTTGTAGTTCAACAACATCTGGGGACCCACAGGTGGAGAAAGGCTGTTCTATGGCAAGGAGTTTGAGCTCAGCAGCAGAATCAGTTTCCCCAGAAGTCAATGACTTACCTAGTTCAGTTGAACTGCAGTAGAAATCAGAGAAGGCGAGTTGATGGAGTGCAATCAGAAGGAGAGGGCTTTTATAGGAGATTTGGAGTCTCGGCTCCTGGCAATTAATCGCTGAGGGATGCAGATTAGGGTGCCTTGGCGGTCTCATTATCTTGAGTCACCTGACCCTATCTGCTTTATCTGACTTCTTTACATAATATATTTGCAACCCTCTGGGGCAAATGAATATTCAAACATCTGGCCTATCCCCCAATAGGAGGTCAGGCTTTTCAAAGTCACGAGCCTCAAAGTCATATCATTAATTATTGTTGTTGGAAAGTAATTGACATCATCATTTGGTGCAAAATCAAATTAAGTCTTCCATATCCTGCCAAGCTAATGGTGTGTTAGTGATTTTGGGGGTACATGCCCACCAGATCTAATCTGGGACCCAGTTATACGTGAAAGTAGTTCCTATAATTTTCATGTGAACTGGACTTGAATTCAGCTCCCTTTGCAGGTTGTTTTTAATTCAATTCAACTATAGTTTTAATTCAATACATTCTATATGTTGGGGTGCCTGACTTTGGTCATTGTGTTTTTACCAATCTGAAAAGCAATAGTGTTGTTTAAGCTTAAATATCATAATTGCTTGGGGAAATAACTTTTTTAAAAATGCTTATATTCATGTGTGTGTGTGTGTGCTGTTAAATCACATGCAGACCACATATTTAAAGCACTATGGTGATATTTTAAACCAGGTTTCCTCAAACTCAGCCCTCCAGATGTTTTGAGACTACAGTTCCCATCATCCCTGACCACTGGTCCTGCTAGCTAGGGATCATGGGAGTTGTAGGCCAAAAACATCTGGAGGGCCGAGCTTGAGGAAGCCAGCTTCAAGCAGCCATGACTTCCTTCAAAGGATTCTGGGAGCTGTAGTTTATTAAGGCTGCTGAGGGTTATTATTCCCCTTACAGAGATACAATTCTCAGGGCGGTTTAATGATCAAGCTGAAGGCTGAGGGAAATGCCAAGAACCAGGTGAATGAATTGTAAATTGAACTGTGAAATTAACTGGAATTCCTTTTTAAAGGGGACGAACTTGAACTTTTTGAAGAGGGCGAACAGGAACAACTTGGTTTCTAAAATGAACTTTTGAAGCACTGGTGTATGTGTGTGTGTGTGTGTGTGTGTGTGAACAAAAGAATAATAAGAATAAGAATAAAATTTTATTTATATCCCGCCCACCCCAGCCGAAGCCGGGCTCAGAGCAGCTAACAACAATAAAAGTAACGCAGCATTCTAAAATCAATTCATTCTAAAATCAATTCAGAATCAAATTGATGGCAACCATTGGGCAAGAGTTCTATGAGGATTACAGAAGGAGGGGGTCAGACTGTGCCTTGGCCAAAGGCCTGGTGGAACAGCTCCGTCTTGCAGGCCCTGCGGAAAGATGTCAAGTCCCGCAGGGCCCTGGTCTCTTGGGACAGAGCGTTCCACCAGATTGGGGCCACAGCCGAAAAAGCCCTGGCTCTGGTTGAGGCCAGCCTAACCTCCCTGTGGCCTGGGACCTTCAGGATGTTTTTGTTTGAAGACCGTAAGGTCCTCCGTGGGACATACCAGGAGAGGTGGTCCCGTAGGTACGAGAGAAGAAGCTGCTGGATCAGACCAATGGCCCATAGAATCATAGAATCATAGAATCATAGAGTTGGAAGAGACCACAAGGGCCATCGAGTTCAACCCCCTGCCAAGCAGGAAACACCATCAGAACAGCATCCTGTTCTCACAGTGGCCAACCAGATGCCTCAATGGGATGTCTGCAGAATTTGCACAATTTGCACCCTTAGTCATTCCTTTGCTGTTTTCATTGGAGCAGGTTGTGGAACCTGCAGGTGTAGCTTCTGGACCAAGGCCAATTACACCATCACCTCAACCGGAAGGATAATTCAAGGTGCTCACCTCGGTGTTTAAAGACCTAAATCACTCAGGTCCCAAATATCTGCAAGGCCATAACCTTCCCTATACAGTGGTACCTCTGGTTACATACTTAATTCATTCCGGAGGTCCGTTCTTGACCTGAAACTGTTCTTAACCTGAAGCACCACTTTAGCCAATGCGGCCTCCTGCTGCTGCCATGCTGCCAGAGCACGATTTCTGTTCTCATCCTGAAGCAAAGTTCTTAACCCGAGGTACTATTTCTGGGTTAGCAGAGTCTGTAACCTGAAGCGTCTGTAACCCGAGGTACCACTGTAGACCCTCTTGGGTGCTGAGATCAACAGATGTAGCCCTCTTGGCAGTTTCTCCACCCTCAGAGTACAGTCATACCTCGGGTTACAGACGCTTCAGGTTGTGCGTTTTCGGGTTGTGCACTGCACCGAACCCGGAAGTACTGGAACGGGTTACTTC